TATTTTTAGGTCTTATTTTCTGATTATGTCTTCAGCTCACAACCCCCTCTCATTTTCCATGCTATTATTAACGACAACAATTTCCTGAAATAAAACTTGTATATCTATGCGTTGTTTCTGTTCTTCATCTCTACATCGCTCCTTGATAGCAGTTTTAACTGCCTTAAGCTTGTGTGCCACTCTGAAGTTGGTTTTACTGTTGATTTCAATACTCTTCCACCTTTATCTTTTCACTAAAATCTTAAGTGCTCAACCAAGATACCTTCAAATCAGAATGGGCACGGTCCCCACTTGTTCCCACCAGACTCTAAGTTGATAGGAAAATGATCAGATGTTGCCCTTTGCAACCACTTCTGGCAAATACCTGCGAAAAAAAGATAGCATTATGTAGACACAAAAAATTTATCAATGTGAGAGCACACTGGATTAGCCCTCTGGTTGGACCAAGTTCTTTTTTCTCATGTTAATGGTAAATCAACTAATTCCAATCTCTCGATAATCTCCTTGAATTCATCCGCAGATCCCACCAAGATTTCATACTCATCAACAATTATATGTTTCTATCATGTGTGCTATTAAAGAAACTGATCGTGTATAGAGTTTGCTAAATTTTCATACGAAAGCTTAAGGATCAAGGTTTTATGTAGTTTGCCACTTTAAAACTTATAGATGAGTTTTCTCCAACAAGGGGGAAATAATGTAGAATAAGATATGCTTTAATAGATTGGAAGTTGTATTTCTTTTGGATGTAAAACTATTTACTATTTAGAAGTCTATATTATTGATGAGTATTATTATGGTTTTGGTAACTTTAGGATTTTATTATTTTTAGTATTTAGAAGTCTAACATAAAAAAAAAAAGTGTTAAGATTTTCTTTGTTTTAATATTCTGTATTTGTATTAGGGATTAAATTTCCTAATTTTTATTAGTTTAGTTTACTAATTTTTATTAGTTTACTATTTTTTTGGTTTAATTTTATTTAGGAAATGTTTACTTAGAGATTATTATAAGTACTTTTTTGTAATTCCACTTCCTTCATTTAACATTATGGTTAATTAACATTTTGAGAA